AGGAAGAATACTCAGTGATAGATAACAGAAGGACCAGAGACAGGAAGTACTTAAATCTTGTCTACTGTGCCAAGCTCTGCTTATATCTATGAACTTTCTTACACATTATTTGTATTTTAATGTATTTCTCACTTAAAATTGTGTATTTTTCAAAAGACAAAGCCTTAGACTGGTGCTTTGTAATATTCACAATGACAAGATACACATTTCTAGATATAACCAGCTGAACAGAAGGTAGAGATACAATGAAGGCACAACCACTGCAGACTTCTCTTTTTGAGTTCAGTGCTGACTAGTACCAGTGAATGAAATGTAACAGAAGTCTTCTACTCTTCTTATCTTTAACTTAATATAACAAATGAAAAAACAAACTCAGCCAATGTATGTTTAAAGTTGGAGTGATATTTTAAAAGAATGAAAAAAAAAACCCTGAAAATGACTTTTATTTCCAGAACCTCAGAGAATTTGAAAGAAAATGCAAACTGCAAACAAGGTTTGGATGAATAATGTTCTAAAACCCAAAACAATTCCCAAAAGAGACATTATGTATACATAAATTCAATTTTCTTAAAAGAAAATACATATCATGAGCAATCAAAAAGAAAGCAAACAAACAAAAAAAAGCCTAAGAACTGCCAGGTGGCACATGCCTATAATGCCAGCACTCAGGAGGCTGAGGCAGGAGAATCACTGTGAGTCTGAGGCCAGGTTGGGATACATACTGAGTTTAAGGTCAGTCTGAACTACACAGTAACCCTGTCTCAAAAAAAAGCCTAGGAACTAAACACAATGTGTGAAATCTGACTGAATCCCAGATCAAAGGGAAAAAAAATTAGGGACAGTTGGAGAGACCTTAATCACTTAATAATGCATCCTGATCGTCACTCAGACAGCATGTTTGTTTATATACAAACTCTCTTAGGTGTTGCTCAGGCAAGAGTCATTTTAACCAGTCGATTCTTATTTACAAGAGATATAGTCATACTATATCTAACTATTATACTAACTATTTTTGCAGACTTTTTTATTTAGAATGTTATACTCACCTTTGATATTGGCTTCTAGTGAAATGTAATAGTAAGTTCTGGTTATTTTCTTTTACTAATTCTTGTTTATTTGTGAAAATAACCTGTAATTTTGTGCTATTTATCAATCTCTTATTGTAAGTATATTACATATAAATTTTATACTTTTTCAGAACTCAGTGATATTCTTTTACAATATAAAATGGATATGTTTGGGACACTGAGGATGAATAGAAAGTGCCAAAAGATATACAAAAGAAAATACTGAGAAAGAAACACTAGAATATCAGAGAGGAAAAGTCTGTTATAAAATGGAAAAACAAACAAAAAAGATGTCTCCTTATCATCAACTATTCATAACAGAGAAATGACAGAACTTTAAAAAAAAAAATGAATCCAAAAAAGGTCCACAGTGGTCAATGATTATAATTCTATAGATGGTGCTGATAAAGCTGACCAATATCTAACAAGCTATTTTGTAATCAGAGAGGAAAACAGTATCATTAAAATATATTTATATTGGATCAAACAATAAAACTCATTTGTTAATTATTCAAAACAATTTATATTAGGTCTAATAGATCAAATAATTGAGATATATGGAATGGCAAAACACCAAGGACGTCCATCATCAACAACTTCCCCATTATGGGTAGACATTTTATTGAAATTACTGCACCCACAGAAAGGAAAGGCCAACCCAACAGTGTAAAGTATGTTGTTCAAAGAAAGACAATAATGCAAAAAGAACTCGGAAAAAGATTAGATATTACTGTCCAGAATGTAACATTGTACTGTGTATTGAATGTTTTAAAATATACCATACATAGCAAAATTACTGAATAAATGATAAAATTGTCATTTTTATATTTACCATTATACTATGTTACAAAAATTAATGAAAAAATATACAATTTTTGCTCATCCTGTAATTTAGCCATTGGACTGGTAGGTGAGTAAATGCGGACCTTTCCATTCAGCACTGCCATGGTTTGAATGTATAGATCCATCCCAAATTCATATGCTGGAATTTACCCCAACACAGTATGCTAAGCAATGTAACCCTGGGGAGATAAGGCCACACAAGGGCTACTTCACTGATGGGATTAAAGCTCTCATTACAAATGCTTTGGACAACGGCCTCCACCACCATCCCTTGACCAGGGGGACATCCAGACAGCACCCCGTGAGAGGGACAGCTTCACACACACTTAGCACCTCAATCTAGGATTTCCTAGCCTTCAAAACTATAAGAAATTTCTGTGGTTTATAAGTTATCCAGGCTGTGGTATTTTGTTATAGCAGCATAAATGGTCTAAGATAACATTTTCTTAAATTAATAGTAAATTTTCTTATGTATGGTATCAGTATTACAATTATGCAGAAAGGTAGTCGTATTCTCAAGGACACATATGCTGAAAATTTTAAATTATCATATCTTTAATATAATTTCAGCAGTCCTAAATATAAACAAATATGAAAGGCAATGTGAGTCATTACCTTTACTTGTTCCCTATCTTCATGTTTTCTCTAATACTGAACATTGTCAGCATGAAAAGTTGAAGGGGTAGAAGGTAGAAAACATGCAAGGAGGCCAGCTTGCCTGAACATGAGGAATAAAATCATGAGAATCGGCCATGTGATCCCGGGATGGTCACATAGCTTCTCAAAGTCTGCAGTTAAAGAGGAGAGGATATCCTAGGATGAAGTTACAAAACCAAAAAGATAACAAATGAACCTAAGATTTAAGATCCTTTTCAGCTGTTAAATACTATTTTACTACTGTACCACTTTCAGCTCTAAAACTCAAAAGATAACCAAATACAAAGTGGAAAAACTCACAGGATTGAAAAAATAAAAATAAATAAGTAAAGGATTTGCCTTTCACATAAAGCACAAATTATAATAACTTCACTCTTTTGAGAAAAACACTTTAAAAAGTTTTCAGGGAAGAAACAAAAAACAATTTAGTAAAAAACTTAGAAGAAACAAAGGACACAGAATTAGGAAGACTTATTTCAGTATCTAGGCAATTTCAGCTTATACCAAAACTATAAATTTAAAGAGGCTGAATATAAATATGCTGTGATAAATCCATAAAACCAAAAGCTAACAAATGAATTTCCTAGGTATTTAAAAAAGCTAGATACTTTCAAATGAGCCTAATATGATATATCTAATGACAGTATGCTGAAAATTTTCCAAAATAAACTACTAATAAAAATACCTATCAGAACTTCGTGTAACAGTCTGGAAAGATTTTAGACTGGCTAAAAGAATTTTCTCTTTTTTAAAGAGAATAAGGGCGCTGAGGATGTGGCTCGGCGGGGGAGCAATTGCCTTGTATGCACAAGATCCTGGGTTTGATCCCCAGCACCACCAAATACATAAACAAACAAATAAACAGATGATAAAAAGGCCTCGGACAGTGTGAAAATCCAGACCAATAACTAAATGTCATACAGGACTTTGAAAAGTTTGGCAAAATAAGCTCTGTGTTTCATTCTCAATAATATTTTAGCTGCACTGTAAGCAAAGGACTGGTTGGGGCAAAAACTAAAGCTGCCTTTTTATAGCTGAAGCAGGATGCAAACAACAAGGGAAAGATGAACAAAACTTACATTTACTTCTGAGTCAGAATTCACTATACTTTGGGATTCTTCATGTGTGAATGCAGAAAAAAAATATAAGCAAGATGATTTTGTGGCTTTTGGCTTTCAGCAACTCTGTATACTGATACAATGTACAGAAACATTTTAGAGAACTCCTTCCTATAGGATTGGTTATGTTACCCTAAGAAGTTTAATTATAATGTCAGAAATAACATTACCATTGGAAATAAAGCATCTGAAAATTCTGCAATATGTAATAGTACTTTTTATACAATGGAGTACTACTGTGCTGTAAAGAAGGGTAGACCTGAGACATTTCTAGCTAAACAGATGCAGCTTGAGACCATACTTTTAAAGGAAATAAGATGGACATATGTTCAAACATTGCATTGTTTCTCTGGTGTGACCAACAAAAGGATAAATAAGGGCCAAATGCATAATAGATACTAGGAAATTAATAGAAAATGTTTGGATGGAAAGGGGAACAAGGGAAGGAAAAGAGATTAAGGAAGGAAAGGGGCAAAAAAGAAAAGAAGGAAAAATGGAAACTAAGTTTTGGGAAATAAGGGTTGAAAGGGAGAGAGAGAATTGTGGTAAAAAGAAGAATCAAGATATATCATCTACAGGTATAAATTTCCTATGATGAATGCTATCATTATGTACATCTAAAATATACCAATAAAATTAAGTTTTTAAAAAACACTTTTCTCCCTGAAATTGAATTTTCTATGACTTTTAATTAATTTTTGGCTTAATATCCTATGGCCTCAGAGTCTTTTTTGGAAATACAGAAAGCAGAAGGAATGGTAAATGTTCAAGAAAAACAAATGATGCAGTCAATGAAGAATCTAGGACTGATAGGCACATAGGCTGAGCAAACGATCAGATTGGGATTCTACAAATCGTTATTAGTTAAGAAAAATAACAAGTATATCACAGATAAGATAAATCCATGAAAAGACAAGCAAAATATAACCAGAAATATAAAATGAAAGCTGTCTGCTAAAACAGAAGAATAATGTCCCATAACGAACACTGCAAGCTGCGTGCTGTGCCACATCCACTGCACAGGCTTGCCTGTCCTCCCAGCACTCAGAGGCTGGGACAGGAGGATCTAGAGCAGTGGCGGTGAACCTGTGGTACACGTGCCACAGTCAGCTGTTTGTTGTCACTGAAATTCTAAATTCATCACCGAGCTGGAGTTTGAGGCTACCCTGGGCTACACAGCAAGTTCAAAGTAAGCCTGGATTACATAGCAAAACCTATCTCAAAACACAAAACAAAGCCCTACAAAATCAAAACTGTTACAATTTCAGAGAGAAAAAAATGCTTCACTTAATGAAGAACTGTAAAGTGATCCTACCTTACTATTATTCATTGCTGGCTCGTGTTAGCTAAAGTAGCAGGTCCATGTTGAGGTATCTACACATTAGGGACGAGGAACACACTTGACAAATGTGCAGTGAAGTCTCAGGAACGACCATAGGTCTAGCCAAAGGACCTGAGCTGCAAGAATAAATTCAAGGAGTCAGAATTGCTCACAGCAGAGAAAAAGAAAAAAAATGCACACGTGGAGCAAAGTATTACTGGAAATTAACTGTGTCAGTTTATCGGAGTCCCCAAACCACAGCGAGAATTCCATACTCACCTGTCTAGTCACGGCTCACTCTCCTCGTCTCTAGTGTCCCTATGTGTAACATTCTTTACCTTTTCCCCCTCCTACTCTCCACTTTGAAGAGGTAATTCTTGTTGTTCTCCATTTTCACAGAATAAAACTTTATGCTCAAGACACATCAAAAGCAACAAGGGATTGCAGTTGTTCAAATACTGTTACAGTCAGGCATGGTGGCACATGTCTGTAATCCCAACACTGAGGAGGCTGAGACAAGAGGGTTACCAGGCATTGTAGTCTAGCTGGGCTGTACAGTGATTTCAACCTGTCTAAACTACACTTCAAGACCTTGTCTCAAACACACACACAAGCATGCACACACACACACACGCGCACACACAAAGTAACTGTAACAACCTAAAGACTTAAGTATGTAAGAAAAAAATACTTCCCAAAACTGAAGAAAGTCTGAGAAACATGCTTCCTCCATTTCACATGTTTTTCAGTCCCAAAGTATGACCCTTGAATTGGCAGTTTTCTCCACAATCCTTCAAAGTGTAGATCTTCTAAGATGGTTCTTGGTCACTGGCTCTCTTCTTTATTACCAATGTCAACACACAGTCATCCCTCAGTACATAAGCGGGATTGGTTCAGTACAGGTGTAATTTTTTAAAAATATTCTTGATTCACAGGTGGCTGACTTTACAGTGGCAGAAGCCATAGAGAGAGCACCAACTGTATGCCATTTACAACCCTGTTAATGTCTCGTCGTTGGCCTGTGCTCTCCTAGATCTAATCCGGCCTTCTAGTTTATCATCTGCTCCCCTCCTCTTCCAAACCCTTCTTGTTTCATTTGCCAATTCTGTTTCCTGTCTTTCCCCCCAGCTTCCTTGACTTTCATAGGATTCAAATGACACTTTAGAAATGTTACCAGAAAGATCATTCCTTTCCTTCTGGTCAGGAAACTAACCAAACGCAGTGTGTCTGTTATGCTCTGAAACCAGTCTGCTAACCTTTAATGTTTTGTCAATTTCTATAGGGTTCTTTTCCTCCAAACAAGCATTTTTATTTCTTTTGCATTTGGCAAGTGTAGGGAGCCACTGAAGCTAGAGATTGATCTGGCGTGGGACTACAGCAAGTCTAGCCCTGAAAACAGCCCAAAACAAGCCAGGCAAACAACCTGTTCCAGAGCCAAGAAAAGGGGCCCAGGCCAGCCAGGCAAAAAGTTGCTAGGCAGTGGGGTGAAACTGACCTTCTTCTTCCAGGTGTATAAACAGACCTGCTATAGCGGTGGAGCAGTGTTTTCTCTCCCATCAGGAGAGTAAGGGCTCCACCTGACTCCAACTTTGTCTCTTCTTTATTTTCTCATCTTCTCACAGTCCTCCCCAAGAACCTCAAGAGCTGAATGGGTTAGAGCAGGCAAGAGTATCAGTCACTTCACCTGGGACACAGTACCCAACGACAACTAAAGAAGGAGAGGTTCACCTGCTTGAGTTTCCAGTGGGCTCAGCTCCAAGGTAGACACGGCATGGTGGAAGGACAAGGGAAAGGGAAGCTGTTCATTACACACAGCCAGGAAGCAGAGTGCAGGGAGCAGCCAGGAACAAGAGCACACCCTTCCAAAAATGCTCAGCATCTTTGGGCACCAATACAATGTAAATCAAAACGAACACTGAGATCCCATTTCACCCCAGCAGGAAAGACTATCATGGAAGTGAAAATCAAGAAATGCTGGCAAGACCACTCTACAAGCTTTAATTTTGTGACTTGAACAATTATTTCTAAGATGGCAATATGTAATCCATTAACTAGTGATTTCCTACTGCGCATTTTTTTATTCTGTAAATCTGTATAACTTGTACCCCTTCACTGTTTTTTTTTCTTTCTTTTCTTTTCTCCTTAAATAAAAATTAAAAAAAAAATTTAAAAAAAAAAAAAGATCAAGGTAAAAAAGAAATCCTTTTATATTGTTGCTAGAAATGTAAACTAATGCAAGCAGTATGGAAATCAGTATGGAGATTCATCAACCACGAAAAATAGAAATTCCATTTAACCCTGAATACCTACAGTGTCTTCCAAAAAGAGTTACACACATCATAGAGTGATACATGCATATTCATGTTCATAGCAGCCCGATGCATAATTGCTAAATTATGGAATCACCTATATGCCCATCAACAGATGAATGGGTAAAGAAAATGTGGTATGGATACACAGTGGAATACTCCTCAGCCATAGAGAACGAGAAATTGAGTTACCTTGAGTCTACAAGGTACGCAAAACAAATCAGACAGAAGATTAAATACTGAATGGTTGGTTTCTCTTTTATGAGAAATCCAAAATACAAATAATTTAAGAGCAAATAAAATAAAGATGATAGTAAATAGGTTTTGTGGAGATGGGAAGTGGACTTGAGATGGGGGAAACAGGATGAAAGCCTGTATAATTAGAGAGGTTGATGAGGAGGATTAAGCTTTATTAGAAAGTAATCACTACATATTTTACGACTTTGTGTATGAAATCTATGGTGAGTTCTGATAAGGAAAATATCTTTTAAGTAATACAAGAAATTTTCTTTTTCTAAATACTCGTCATTAATCTGTGTGTCTTGGTTGGCACTAATATCCACACTCTCAAGTTTCTGCAGTAGGCACATAGTATAGGTCTTCAGAATCAGCATGTACTGTCCCTGGAGCATTAAGTAGTTCAGGAATGGGTATGTGGCCCAAATTGAATAGCTAAGTCTGAATGCTGCCCTACATTTTTCTTTTTATTTTGCATTGGCAATTAAGCCCAATGCCTTGCTAAGCAAGTGTTTGACAACTCAGCTGCATACCTAGTACCCCCAACATTTTTACAGGAACTAATCAGGAAAGAAACTTCTTTTTCAGCTGAAGTAGTTAAACTGAAAGAGCATAAGTACCTACTTGACAATGAGCCAATACAGAGACAGTGCCAAGAGTTGGAAAGAAAAACAGATAAAATTCTGAAAACATTTTATCCCTTAATCTAAGTTCAAGTGTGAATAGATGTAGCTTCTGAAATTTAGAATTACTATTAAGAAACAATTTTCTCTGGATTTCTCATGTTCCTGAACAGTCACAGACTTTTAAGCAAAAAGTACAAAGATACTGAAAGAAACAGAAAACTTGGAAGCTGGAGCATGTCTTTCATGCTTTGGATACACCTCCAAAGACCTTTGGAGAAATGACCTCTCCCATCCCTCCCTGGAGATATTTTATTTATATCTTATGATAATAAACCTGAGAAATCTTCCTACTTTCCTGTGAAGGTCATTTGCTTAAGGAGTAATTCTTCTGCCAAAGATGATGGCAAATGTGCCAACAACCTGTACAAGCTTCTGCACAGCAAAGGAAAACAACCAACAGAGCAAAGAGACAACCTACACAATGGGGAAAAAAATCTTTGCCAACTACTCCTCAAGCAGACACTAAAATCTTTTGAATATGTAAACAATTCAAAAAATTAAGATTCCCCAAAATAAAATATCCAATCAAAAAATGGGCAAATGAAGTAAAGAGATATTTCTCAGACATATAAATGACCAATAAATGCAGAGAAAAAATGTTCAACACTACTGGCTATTAGAGAAATGCAAATTAAAATACCACCACAGTTCCATCTTACTCCAGAAAAACATGGCTGTTATCAAGAAAATAAATGCTGTTGGTGGGAAGGGAACTTCTATAATGTTCATGAGAAGGTAAACTAGTACAACCGCTATGGAGATAAATATGGGATTTCTCAAAAATTGAAACTGGAAATTCCATTTGACCCAGCTATATATCTTCCGCAAAGAGTTAAAAACATCATATTACGGTGATACATGTATACACATCTTTATAGTAGTACAATTCATAATAGCTAAATTTTGGAAGTGACCTGTTTGTCCACTGGCAGGTGAACGTATAAATAGAATGAGGCATTTATATACAATGAAGTACTACTCTGCCATAAAGAAGGCTAAGTGAGTCATTTGTGGGAAAATGGATGCACTTTGATACCATAATGCTAAGAGAAATAAGTTAGAAACACCAAATTTAAATACTACATGGTTTTTCTGGGATATTACAGTAAAAATATTTTGAATCTACTTGCCTAGCATCTATTACTTCTTTCCACGGTCACAGTTCTTATCTCTTGGTCCAAGCAGTTTAGACACTCCCTACTCTTAGTATAAAAAATGAACTTAATTAATTCTGGCCTGTCATCATATCTCATTCCTCCAATCATCCAGGATGGGGAAAGGACAGAACCCATTCGATGAAATACAGTCAATACCAGGTCTAAGAGGAAAAGAAGTTTTTTTTTTATGAAAGGTTTCCTTAAGTGAAAGAATTTAAACCTAGAGTGGCCATAAGCTCCACATGGAATAAAGTTTCATGAGGGCATAGTTAACACAAGGGAAAGCCATAAGTATCTCAGTGTCCTAAGTACAAACAGGAGTTTTCTCTTGTGGAAGATACTCCCAGTTTGCAGAGGGGAAAAAAGTACGCTACAAGATAAATTATTTGTCTAAACTCATACAACTAATTGCTAGTTGCATAGATGCAACCTTAGATAAGCCTGACTGGATCCTCCTTACTCTTCACTACATCACTTCCCTGCTCAGGAAAACAGTCTGCAACATCTCTGTTTTATAATTATTGGAAACTGTAATTTAAATTCTTACATGAAGTGAGTATTCTATTAACATTTGGAGAATGACCAAAAATAGAACAAACATATGTCTTCTTGCTTCCTGCCCCGTGCTGGTAATAGTTTTGCCTCCTGTCTGACATATAACATTTCCTCTTCCTAAATGGAATCTACTTTAAGGGCCATGTTTATTTCTTTTATCATCTTCAACCCTTTCCAAAAATCATGGTATTAC